AAAAAGATAAGTTTAAAATTTAGAATATATAATTTTGCATTAAAATGTTTTTTTACCTATTTTAGTGTGTTGCAGTAGTCTTAAAACTAAGTGTATTTACTGTTAATATACCAGTTTGACAAACAGTTGACATTTTGAAAATTCCTCACTTCCTAACTATTCTGATGTTTTGGCAACGCTGTGGGGTTCTGACGTAGTAAATCTTGAATGACGCGCAATCATTTTTATATAAAAAATACTATAAATTATCGAATATTGAATTTAATTCAAATAATATTTTAGTTTTGACATACCTAAATAGTTTATTTACAAATGATGATGAATGATGATACATTGGCAACTAGAACAAAACTTAGGGCCTATTGTTCGAACGCTAATCAAAACTTGATTGTAATCAAATATTTAATTACAATCAAATACGTCACAGCAGCTGTCAACATAATTAAAAATTGCTTATTATTATTGATTTATAAAAACAAACATGAAACTAACATCAAAGGAGTTTAATTATGGATTATTTTAAATTATAACGCAAAATAATAAAATTGAATAAAATAAATCAGTGAACATAACCCCAAAATGTGACATATTTGATTTTAATTAAATATTTGATTACAATCAAGTTTTGATTAGCGTTCGAACAATTGGTCCTAATTGTATCAGCTATAAGAAAGTTATTGACATTATGTACTGTAAGTTATCATTATGTACTGATAATATCTATTTTCAACTAAATAATGAATTATATAAACAAAATTTTGGTCTAGCAATGAGCTCTAGTTTATCTCCATTATTAGCCAATATAGTTATGAAAGATTTTAAAACAATTATTATTTCTGAACAAAATTTTAAACCCATAATATGGTGGAGATATGTAAATGATGTATTCTCAATATGGCCTTATGGATCAGAGTTGTTGCATACATTCCTGAATCATATAAACGATAAAGAATATACAGAAACATTTACCACTGAAAAGGAATATAATAACACACTACCTTTCCTGGATGTACCAGGAAACTAACAACCAACAGATATATAAATTATAAATTAAATCACATCATCGATATTAAAAAGGGAATCATTAAATCACTATGAGTCAAAATTACTTGTTCTAATGAAAATTCCTTATTAGAGGAGAAACATTTATTAACATCTGTTTTATTAAAAGAAATAATCAAATACATCAAAGTACTTAACAAATTTTCAATCGGAAGTGACCACAGATTAATCCAAGCTAGGATACTATTAAATGTCAAATTGGAAAGAACAAAGATGATCCTAAAAACAGGAAAAAAGAAATGTATTCCCCCAGAAAACAACGACCTGTATGAAGATACACTAACCAGATATATACAAGACTTGCAAGAGGAAATAGAAGATGTAGATAAAGCAAATGATGGCACAATGAAGGCTCTAAAAGAAACGGAAAGGGAGTGCTGCCTGACCCATAAAGAAAAACTAAGTCAAAATACCAAAGAGATAATAGGTAAAAGAATATAGCTGACGGAAAAATACGGCTCCAACTACACAACAATGAACATTACTACTGATAGAACCAAAATACTTAGGGTTGTCGGATCCTTTTATCGCGAAATGTATGAGAACACCGACAAAAGGCAAGATCAGCCCCTGCCCAAAATCACAAATCAGGGATCAGAATTAATGCCAAAAATAACTCAATACGAAATCAAAACGGCGCTTTTAGAAATGAAAAATAACAAATTCCCTGACGATGACGAAGTAGTGATCGAAGCGATCAAACTAGGTGGAAATAAAATTATCCAGGCTTTGGCCAAGCTCCTCACCGAATGCATCTACCAACGAAAAACTCCTTCTCAACGGAATAATGCAGTCATTACTTTATTACACAAGCAAGGAGACATAACAGATTTAAAAAACTATCGTCCTATCAGTTTGCTTTCACACATATATAAACTTTTCTCAAAAATTATCAAAAAAAGACTGGACGCTAAATTAGACTTATATCAGCCTAGAGAGCAAGCTGGATTTAGATCGAGATACAGCACTAATGACCACTTACTAGTGATAAAGAACCTGGTAGAGAAGTCTGCAGAATACAACAAACCATTGGCACTGATATTTGTCGACTAGGAGAAAGCATTCGATACCATAAACCATGAGAAAATGTTAAAAGCATTGACAGAATGCCGAAGAGATCATCGCTATCTAACAAAATACCACAGCTAGCGTAAGACTATCAGAACAAGAAACAAATAAATTCTGTATACAGCGAGGAATACGTCAAGAAGACACAGTCTCTTAAAAGCTATTCACGACGCTTTTAGAACATACTTGCAAGAAGGCAAATCTGAACGAGCATGGTATTAACATAAATGGAGAGAAGCTCAGTCATTTGAGATTTGCAGATGACATCGTTCTTATAGCCAAGCGTATGGATGATGCAATAATAATGTTTGAAAAATTATATCACGCTTCCTTGGAGGTCGGACAAAAGATTAATATGAAAAATACCCAAATAATTGCTATTCTGGTGCTAAATCGAAATATTGCTGTTGATGGAAGGGATATTGTGAAGACTACATCGTATAAGTGCCTAGAACATGAAAATCTGTTTAGACAGAGATATCCATATATGTGAGCTACAATGTCGCAGAGGATTAACCTGGGCAGTTTGGTAAATTAAACTATGATTTAAATCGGATCTACCCATATGCCTCAAAAGGAAAATCTTTGACTAATGTGTGTTACCTGTATGTGTTACCTTCCGGTTCACTTATGAACCGGAAATATTAACATTCACAAAAAACGTAGTTAATAAGATTCGCGTGACTCATATGGCCAGATGTTGGGTGTCTCTCTGAGAGACCGAATCCAAAACGAAGAAATACGTCGTAGAACAAAAACAAGAGACGCTATCGAAAAAATCGCGTCGTTAAAATGGAACTGGACAGGATACGTCGTCAGATTATCCGACAACCGATGGACAAAACGTATTTTAGAGTGGAGACCAAGACAAGAAACAATACGGGGCAGAGGGAGCTCACCAACTAGATGGACTGACGACCTGAAACGTGTTAGTAATAACTGGATGTCCAGTAGTGGACGCATACAGGTTGATGATGATAATGCTTTATTAAAAAATCATTATCTCTTATCGTTTATAAATAAGGAATTTTAAAGAATCGATTAATTAGAACAACTTAGTATAAAATCCTATTACATCCACAAGGAATAATACCATTCATAGAACGATTATCAGAAAAACTTAAAACGATAGGAAATAAATTCAATATTGCAACAGCACTCAAAACAACAAACACTGAGATCTATTTTATCTAAAACTAAACCTAACAATGAACAAGAAAGAACGAATAATTCTATTTATAAAATACCTTGTGAATGCGATCATTTTTATTTAGGTGAACCATTAAGAACAATAAAATGTAGGAATAAGTAAATATTAATCTTATATTAAAAATAGAGAATTTGTTAGATTTCAAATATGTAAAAACGCATGGGAAAATGAACATGGGCTTCCATGGAACGATTCAAATACGTATAGTCCTAAAAGAAGCGTCTCTAATTATGCTAAATGACACCACTTCCATCGCAAATTCCTCGGTGGAGTGCAGTAATATCTGTTTATTATACCCATATTAAAAGAGGAAATCAATAAAAAGAATATACCACTATTAGCAAGTCAATAACGTTTGGAAGATACATAATTTATGTTTTTAAATAACCTACATATATAATAAGAGTTTGGTATTTATTGAGAGTAAACTAAATGTATCTTTCAATAAAGTCGTTCCAGGAACGCAAGTCAGCAATATCGGCAATATCATTATAAAGTCTTCTAGTTTAAAATATTTAATTTAAGTCTGAATTGACAATTAAATTATTAAAAGAATTTTTGACTAAGTAACAAAAAAACAAAATTTGTTTAATTTATTAATGTTTTGTATTTTGAGAACGATTTCTGAAGCGGAAATCTAAACGTCAAAAATAACGTTATTTTGAACTTAAATTGTGGCTTATTCCCAATAAAAATAGTAATTTCTTTGACTTCATCCCACCCTATTCCAATGTGGCCAATCCATTGCCATTTTTTCATTGGCTGTAGTAGATATGATAGTTGCTCTGTTCTTTCTCATAGTTTTGTGTTAGTTATTCTGTTCGACCGTCTTGTTTCCATGTTTCTGCTCCGTAAAGTAGTATACTTTTGATGCAACTACTAAAGATTTTAATTTTTGTTGTATCCAATATTTCGTTTATTTGCCAAATTTTATTATGTGTTGAATGCATGTTGAGCCTTTATTAATCTTGTCTATATCTTTTTTTTACACCCCCGCTCCTTTCCATTATTATTATTTGGGTGGTGTTAAGAGTTTGGTTTTCTCTATGTTTATTCCGAGTATGATTGTGTCAGAGTAGTGTGCCCACCTGTCAATTTTTATTTGCATACGATTTCGGTGTTCACTTATCAGGCAGATGTTGTCCGCAAATTCAAGTGCTTCAAATTTTTTGAATGGGTTCTATCTGATGCCTGTTCGATCCTTATTTAATTTTCTCATTACCCAATATACCTTATGAGAAATAGGGAGCACGGCCATATACACAACCCTGTTTGACTTCACTTTCTACTACTATTTCTTCTGTTACGTCACCTGAGTATTCCAGTTTGCCTTTGTTACTTTCTAGAAGAGTTTAATAAAAGAGTTCTAATATCTGTATCTTTAAAGAATTGAAATATAAACTCGGAATTTGAATTTGAAAAATAATATAATTTTCTTATATCCTAAGTACGGCCCTGTCCTAATGGGAATCCGCCAGTAGATCTCTTCGCCTCTTTTTGATATACATTTCACATCCCGAATTATTTCCAAGTTAATAGTTAGTCGTTCAGAAGCAGGGCAAAATACAGAATCGTCGGTTGTTTAGTCTCTCGAGCCAATTAAGGCAATTAGTCGGCATCAATTAACTAATTAAGATCGGCGGTCCAACGGGGTGACAGCATGGAATTTTTGCATTTTTCGGAACAAATGAGCGAACAGAAGTTCAACGGAAGTGCGAACGGGAATAAAAAAAGAAAATCTTATACTTTTGAATCAGAGTATGGGGTTCCCGTACGGCAGAGGAGCCAGGCGAATGCTAGAGAGAGAGATAGGACACAAAGGTATATATTTATTTATTCTTATTTATCTTCGAAAACTGTACTGTATAAGAAACCACGAGTTGTTTCATCATCACTTCCTTAGCCAATCTTCTGAATATGATTTTGAAACTGTTTTTTTTGTGAAATTTTTTTATTAACTACTGTATTGAATGCGAATAAACCACACATTCAATTAAAAAATATATTCAAATATTTTATCAAAGAATATAGACGCTTAGAAGCGACTATATCCTTTGATTTATATTGGACGCTTCGTTTTCTACTTCGAAAAGCATTCTCAAAATACAAACTAAACAAATTATTTTATTTGTTATTTACAAGTGGAGGTATTTATTTACTTAGTAAGGGTCACTAAAAAAATTTTGTGGATTTAGCCTGAAAAATAAAAAAAATACAAAATTTACCCTAAAACTATACCTGTTTACCCTATGTTTATTTTCACTTGCGTGTATAGGTACATATTTGAAATCTGTCAAAATCTTATCATCTATTTTTAATATAAGATTGCTGTTCACTTGTCCGAACATTCATTGGTCTTGATGTTTCACCTAAATAAAAATTATTGTATTCGCAAGGTGTTGCTGGTGTTACATAAATACAATTCTTTGTTCTTTCTTGTTCATTCGTTCATTGTTAAGTTTAGTTTTAGATCTAATAGTGTTTGTGTTTGTTGTTTTGAACAGCAAAGTTTTCTGATAATCCTTTTATGTATGGTATTGTTATTTTCTTCGTATTATTTCTTGTGGATGCTGTAGGATCCCGTTCTATGTTGTTTCATTTCATTCGGTCGATTCCTGAAAATTCCTTAGTTATAAACGACAAATGATAATCATTTTTTAATAAAACAGATATTAACAAATGTTTCTCTAAGAAAGTATTTTCGTTAGAACAAGTAGTTTTGGTTCTATCCTTAATGATTCCCTTTTTAATACTGATGTTGTGATTTGATTTGTAATTTAGATATCTGTTGATGTGTGTTGGTTTTCTATACACCTGAGTCTCCAGTATCCTTTTTTAAAATTAAAACATCCAGGAAAGTTCGGTAGTATGTTATTGTCTTCCTTTTCCATGGTAAATGTTTTTGTCTCTTCTTTATCGTTTGTATCATTCAGGAATGTGTCCAACAACTCTGATCTTGAGCTACACCATTGCTATAATAACTCTATTATAGCTGATACATTTAGTCTTGTTCTAGTTGCCAATGTATCATCATTCTCTAATTTTGTTTTTATTATTTTTAAAGTCTTATCTAATGGCACATGTGTAAATAAATTATTTATGTCAAAACTTACTAGAATAGTATTTGAATTAAATTCAATATTCGATCATTTATTTAAAAATGTATATTTTAAAATTAAATTATTAGAAGAATTTTTCACCAAGTATCAGAAAAAAATTGTTTAATCTATTAATGTTTTGTATTTTGAGAACAATTTGTAAGGTCGCCCTTTACTATTTCTTTATTTAGGTACCTATTAATAGTATGATCAGAGAACTACGAACATAGTGTGTTCGTAGTTCTCTGGTATGATTATCTTACTCTATTACTATCCATGTTTTCTTTTTTTTCTGCTTATTTTCAATTCGTGGCTTTCTATACATCTCATTTAACAGTTATTATGTTATTGTCTTAAGATTGATTAGCTTCAGATGGCAAGATAATTGGTCAATTTATGAACAAAAGCATTAGTAGTAGAAGTACCAAACTGAATTTTATCTTGTTTTGTTCCTTTTTTTAATACTAGATTATTCCTTTTTTTAATCATCATTTATTTTCCTTTCTGACACACAATGTTGATTCCATTCTTTCATATTTTTTAATGGGTTTATACCTTCTATCCCACATTTTGTTTTAATTCTCTGTATCTCAGCATTCTCTTATTATTTCCATCTATCCTATTGCTCTACAGCCTAATTCGAGTACTGGTCTCCTTCAGCAAGCATCTTCATTCGTTACGGCCTATAGCCATTTCCCTCCACGATCGATTGCTAGGGAGATTTTTGCGTACTCATCCACATCACCCTCCCATTTCTTAGTTTTTTTAGAAGCCTGTTTCTTCATCCAGTACATACAGGTGGTTCTACTATCTAGTGCTCTTTTTGGTAATCTTTCGGTCTCCATTCTCACTACATGACCAGCCCATCGAAGTCTATGAAGTTTAACGAATTCTGAGATTGGTGCCTCTTTGAAGAGTTGGTAGAGTTCATGGTTGTACATGAATCTCTATACTCCGTTTTCGTTAATGGATCCAAATATCTTCCTTATGAGTTTTCTTTCAAAGACATCTAGCTTTCGTTTTGTGTCTTCTGTCATTCATTACCCATGTCTCGCATCCATAATATACTATTGGTGTGATAATAGTTTTGTAGACCCTGATGTTCGATCTCCAGTGTGTATTTTTGGTTGTTGGAGGGGATGGGTGAGTAAAAAGTAAGCTTTGTTTCCCTTTACCATTCTTCTTTGAATTTCTGGTTCTTGTATTCTATCCGTGTTTAACGTAACTCCCAGATATGTGAAACTTTCTACAGTTTAAATATCGTCTCGGAATAAAGATGAAGCGATTGGTACCTAATATGTATGTGTGCTCCAATTATAGAGGTATCTTTTAATCTATTTTCGGATTAAATTGCGAAAAAATGAAAAAAAAACGTCGATTTTCGTCAGAAAACGTCAGAATTCATTCTGGGGATCAAGACGAAGCGATTGGTACCTAATATGTATGTGTGCTCCAACTATAGAGGTATCTTTTAATCTATTTTCGGGTAAAATCGCGAAAAAATGAAAAGATACGTTTATTTTAGTGACTGAATAACCGCTTGCCACGCTTTGAGCAGGTGTTTCTTGGCTCTTGAAAGGGCCAGAATTCATTCTGGGGATCAAGACGAAGCGATTGGTACCTAATATGTATGTGTGCTTCAACTATAGAGGTATCTTTTAATCTATTTTCGGATAAAATCGCGAAAAAAATGAAAAAAAACGTCGATTTTAGGGACTGAATAACCGCTTGCCACGCTTTGAGCAGGTGTTTCTGGGCTCTTCAAAGGGTCAAAGTTTCACCAATTCAAGTACACCAATCAATAAGTGCACAATGTATCTTTCTGACGAGTCAGTGGTCTCGTTCACACATATGTAGAAGTAATTATTACCTATTTCGGCTTTTATGTTGTGGATAACTGAGGAGTATAACAAATTGACATTATTTCTCTTTAGAGTTCGTTCACTGAGAATGGTTTAATTGCAATATTTTTTTAAAAAAGAACTAAAGTTTTCATTAGATAATTTTGAAAGTGGTATATTAGAAGATACTAATATACGACAAAAGTCTTCCTTAAAAGTTTCTTGTTCGGTTTGTTTTTTGGAACTTGACTGAAAGCATCTGGACACTGAAGGTTGATATTTTTCACCGGATGTGGTTTTTACTTTTTTAGCTAAATGTTTCGCGGTTCTGACATGCTGATCTATTTGAAATTTTTTTTCAGATGAAATTTAAAAAAGAATATAAATATTCTATAGTTGTACCCATTTTTAAAATCTAAGATTGTAGAAATAAACTAAAAATGAACCGTTTTTGCATAACAATTAAAATATTATTTAAATTAAATCAAATAAAAATCGGTGTAGTAATCTTGAAAATGTCAAGAAATGACTGTGCAAGAAGGAAGAACCCCCAAATATTTACAAGAGGCTCTTGGTCTTTTCTGTTTGCATTAAAAAAAAATACTATGAGCATAAATTGAAAGCACTTAATTAATTATGTCCAATATATGATACATTTTTGTTTTTAGCAAAATTAAAGCAAACTATGATATTGTTAGAAAAAAAATGTTAACGACCTTTCAGTAGACTATTGAATGATATGAATTTTAAATATGTAGGTATCCTATTTTTTATCGCAAGGAGTTTAAAAAATGCTTGAAAAAAGAAAAATACATCGATTTATTGTGAACTAGCCTTGTGTCGGTACTTTTCTTAAACAAATTTTTAAAATAAAATAAAAAATAATACGTATGTACTTACGGTTTTGCCACAACATGAGCAATAAACTTTATCCATATAAATAGATAGCTCTTTGTAAGGTTTTATCCAAGTTGAAATATTGCTTATTTTCGGCATTTTCAAAGCACAATAATTATTCACAATTAGAAATACACGTTGTTTATGCCTCCAATTTTACAACAAAAGTGAAACCAAGTAAAACTGACCGTCAAAATAAAAATTTTTACCTAGAGACATAAACTGGTTTACACAAACCCTTAATTCAGGACAAAACGTGACAAAACTGTAAGCCGCTGTCTTTTATTAGTTACTATAACAAGTATTTGAAGTAATTATAAAACAAAATTAAATATTGGCATTTTCATGCTATCTGTAATTTGAAGATAAAAATATATAGTTAACACCAAATTTTCAAATTATATGCACTTTATGCTCACTTATGCAAAATTGGTAATTTTTGCATTTTTTATGCATTATATGCAAAATATGCAATTTGCATATTTGCCCAAGTCTAGTCATTACAGAATTATTTTTGATCCATATTTTTTATTACATTTTTAGAATATATTGCTATGTTATATGTTTTTCGATATTTGCCATCTTGTAACTATTTTCTGCAAATCTTATAAACTATAGACTATTGGGAAGTGGGGAGTAACCTTTTTATATCTAAATAGCTATTATATTCTTTTTTTTTGTAGAAATATCAATTCCTCCCACAATATATTATGAACCTGTTCACTTTTTAAATGTACAAAAGTTTAATTAAAGCAATATGTTGTCAAGTGAATTAAATTTGAAATGAAAGATTATGATGAAGAGATCAAAATAGTTAACATAAAATTAACTGGAATATTGACAACTTCAATAATATCTCAACCTAATAAACGAATACTATTAAAAACAGTCAATTTTCTATTGCTTCATATTTCAGATATGGATATTAAAATTAGCTAATAATAGAAAATATCGGTTTTCGAAATGTCGGCATAAAAATTTTACG